TTCAACATAGTCTCCAAAAGTTTTAGTGTCAGACTTTTGGCTTTGGATGCTTGACACTAAAATCATAGCCGGGTTGTCAGCTAGTGGCAATGTAGCTTCACTGAACTGAAAGGGATTTTTGTCTGCTGACAGCAGTTAAAGAGAGAGTCTCCTGTATTTAAAAAAAAAAATATTTTATGAAGACAGGAGAGTAACTGGATTAGAGGTTCTCAGACTGTGTCCTGTGATCACTTGCTAAAGGGTCTTGGAAAGCTCTGCAGTAGCTTTGTGTTGCCTTGACTTCCAGATGAATAAATATATCTAATACTTCCCTAAAATCTGCATTTTAGTGTGGGTAACTATAAAGAGAGAGCCTCTGCGGTCCCCGTGAGCTAACCAGCGAAGTATTTGTAAAGGAAAATTGTGTCTCACCAATCTCCTATAATTCCTGCGACACGTTGGTAGAGCAATAGACAAAGTTGAGCCAGCTAAAATAATTTTCAAAAGGTGTTTGACAGGGTCCTTTATGAGACACTACAAACATTTCTTAAGTCATCATCTGTGGAGAGACAAAATATTCTGAATCAAAAATTGGCTAGGTGAGCATAAGCAAAGAGGAGGATTAAACAGTCAATTCTCCTAATGGCCCGATGATACGTTCTGGTTTTGGCAGCAAATGAACAGCAAGGCAATACATGTGGCTGGACTTTAAATCTAGATGATACCGATCCGACTACTTTTTATTAATTACAATTTTTCTGAATCAGTTCAACCATTCCTGGTATCATGTACCACACAGCAAGATTGATGGCACTAGGTAAACAGCATTGCCTTAAGTCTAGAGTGAATACTATTATTTACCTCTGCACGGTACTTTTCCTGAAAAATTACCTACAAGCTAGGGTTAAAAGCCCCAAACAAAACACTGTCAAGCAGTCAATAATTCACAAGAAATGTCTCGTTGCTTAATTGTTGCTGCGGAAACTGAATTTGGAGCAAGGATACGCAATACTATAGATTTCTTTATTTGGAGGTTTTCTCATCAGTAAGAAAGGCCAAGCTGTCACATTGACTGAGATTAACTAGGCTTGGACCTTTATAGCTTGTAAAACTGGACATTTATGTATAACTCCTGAAAACTGATTTACTACAGGTGGAGACGAGTAGAGTTGTAGAGTTACAATATGCGTGTGAATGAGACATGCCATCATCACCACCGCAAAGATGGCCACGTGAAACAACATCGCTGCAACCCTCACAAGGAGAAATGTGTGTTAAAAAAAGTGGGGGTCTCAGAGCCACCCCTTGGTCTTGTGGATCTGGCCGCAGGAGGAGGAGGGCAGTCGGTATCATCTCAAACAAGCTGTCTTGCAATTGGGCACATGTGCTTATCCACTTGTATTTTTAAGCACTCTGGTCAGGGCTTCATTCTTTGATCCAGAAATCTTTGTTTTCCCCACTTCTGGACCCCAAATGGCTTCTCAGTGCTTCCTTTAATTAACATTGTTCAGGACTCTAAGGTTAACTTAAATCAAGTTTGGAGAAAGGTCTAAATTGGTTTTAAATTAGACCATTATCTTGTAGTGGCTGTAACGTTTTCTGGTGCCAGGTGTTTCAGACTTATTTTTTGTTTGATTTATGCTAAAAAAATCCCTGCTTTTTTCTCTTTCTAATTTCAAAAATCTTTTGTGTCAATCAGTGTTCTAACACCAATTCGAAGGTGCCGAGGATCTTAAGTACATTTAAATTTTCATCAGTCCATTTGAAACATTGTTTTCAGTCCAGTGGATGCTTTATGCCAATACTGCCAATCCCAAACTCCGAAGACAGGCAATTTAGCTGAGCAGAAAAGAGAAGCTGTGCATGAAAGTTTATTTTAACAATAAAAGTTAAGTCCTTTCTATTTAGTTAGTTAGATAGTTGCCGTTTGGGCTTACATTTTCAAACATTTCACACCATGTACTAAAAAAAGGTCTTGATATAATCATATGTCACTACTAGTGCTTTTAATCTGTCTCAAATATCTTCAGATAAAGTCTAAAATCACAAGATTTGGCACATGGGAATGTGTTCTAGATTTGTTTCTGCTTGACCTTGCAAAGTGTTGACACTTGCTGGACACGTAAATCCTTTCTCCTGATTTTTGAGATTCTGTTCTTGGCAGCCAGAAGGCGACTGTACACATAGTTTAATGTTTCTCTTTTCAAAAAATATTTTTCTACGTTTAAATCTTACCATTCCTCAGTGGTGACAACCTATAGTTTGGGGTATTTTTCATGTTAGTTTTCTGATTTTTTTTCCTAATTTGATTTCATTTTATAGATGTCTGACTTCCAAAGGGTAATGATAAATACACCATATGATCACAACTCAAAATATTATTCTAGTAAATTCACATGCAGATATTCATGATAATGGCAGTTATTAACCCTGGTAAATATCAGTGGTCTTACTAAATCTTTGTGTCAGAAAGGGTTACGTCAAACTTAAATTATGTAGAAAGCTTTATTATATACCACAACTCAAAGTAAAAAGGGAGAAGAGAAGCTAGCTGAAAAAAAAGACCATTAAGGCCATGTTTCACTGAAGTGTGGATGAGAAATAATCTTGGGGAAAAGAAGAAATGAAAGATTTTGACATGTCAAAAAAAAAGGTCACCCTTATTTTTAATCAGCCCTCTGGTCCTTTCCCTGGATGAAGGCATCATTGGCAGACTCGGGCAGGCAAGGTGGGAGGGAAGAGCTCTGCTGCTGTAACAGATTGGTTTCTGCATGGCGTATAGCAGACTTCTCAGAAGATGTTTCCCTGAAGGTGACAGTGGGGGTCAGCCACCGTATAACCTGGAGGAACTGCTTCTTGGGCAAATGGAAATCATAAGTACTGAACAGTGTATTTCACAAATAGGATAACTTTAGGTCAGAGCCACTACATGTTCCCAGTCTGGCTGCCCCGATTCTTCAATTGACAGAGATAACATAAAGCATTGCCCTTCAGAAGAAAGGGACGCAGAGTTCATTCCCATGCGCACTTTTGGGCTCAGCACTTCAACTTGCAGGGAAAAACACTTTGTTTGGGAATGGGGTTTTACCAGTGGAAACACCTTTAGTCTATATGCACAAAATCCCATTTTCTAGAAAGTAAGCAAATTGGTCCTGTAAGGGTAAAGCAGAGAAAAGCAGGTGAGAAAGCAATACATTTTTAGATCACAGCCTTAGGATTAAATGTCCACATTGCAAATCTCCTTTTCATCAATTTATTGTCATAAACCTTTACTGTTGGGATATTTCTCAATGTGTAATTCCTTAATCTTTTGAAAACAATAGCACATCTGCCAGGTACTTGTAGCAAACAGCAACCTGGTTGCCTGTGGTTTTTGTTGCCTGGGTTTAAAGAACTTACTGTATATTAAAAATTACTATATACTGCTATTGCTGGCACTTATCAGATAAGGAAGTCATAAGATGAACAATCTGCCTCAAAGAACTGAAAAGCAAAGCAATTCTGATACTGAAACTGCAAACCAGATGATGCTGATTAGAGGCACGCACGTAGATTACAGAAGTATAATAAATCATGTAACTTTTTAGACTCAAATAAAATAAAAGAATGTAGTTTTTATTAGGAAATAAACTGTTTATCAAGAATGCCTTAAAGGTGACATTTATTACTAATAAAGTGTGTATTGAAAGGGCTGATCCTTTCACTGGCTGAACAGCTGGAGGTTTTCCTCTATGTAAAAAGTGCCCCAGCTCAGTCCGTGCTGGGTCAGGAAGCACTTCCATCAGCACTAACGAAGGATGGGCAAGAGACTCACCCACACCTTTTTTCAAACAAGAACATTTTCTTTTCTCTTTAAAAAGGAATGAGTCATGGAAATATAACTCCAGTATCATTTTGGGACTGATTGTGCATCTCAGCACAACTCCTTGGAATATAACTGAGAAACAATTCCACAGTCAGCTAATGGTACCAAAACCCAGCAAAGCATCTGCCAGGCAAACTCGATAGTGTCAGCGAGCCCCCTGCTTAGGCAGGGTGTTATTTGCTCTTCAGTTCTTGAAACTTACGGGCTGACTCTTTAGGGCTGTCACACTCCACACTACTTATATTAATTCTGTTAAGTTACTGTGTACCAAATATTATGGCTGTTGGTGCTGAACATGTCAAAAAACATGTCCATCCTTTAACAGCCTGCACTAGAGAGGAATATGAAGCCTCTCACTTAACAAACTTCTTGTCTGAAGTGTTTAAATTTACACCTCCCCAAAAGCAGCCTTGCTTTGGAAACCAACTCATTCAGGCTTGAACGATAACGATATTGAATGTGTGTCTACCTGCTACCTGAAGCTGTGTCAAGGATAACTGCATACAAGTCACATCAAGCTATGTATATCTCAGTCATTAAAAAATGCCCTTCAAAACAACACAGGGAGGAGACAAAGGTGGAGTGCAGCACACCTTGTTTAGGGCTTGCCACATGTCTGTGTCTTGCAAGGCACGAACACGTTGCAGTTAGGAACTTATTCAACTCCTTTACAATGATAAAGGCAATTTTAGGAATTAACTGTTGAGCAACTGTTAAACATTTATCATTCTGACCTTGTCTATGAAATCTATTTTGTGATTAGTCCACAGTGTGTACCCCACTACTTGATCATGAACTGAAGTTTCTGTTCCCACACTACAAATAAAAGTTCTTCTGTAAGTCTCACCAGCCAGAATACATTGCATGATTAAAATGTGGTTGCAGATTGTCAGAAAAATCAAACTTCTTGCACTTAAGATGCATTAACTATTCAGGAAAATGAAACGGTGCTTAAGACCCGCTCTCAAGAGTCTGTGATAAAAATCAATGATGTAGCTCGTGTATTGTCTAGATTATATGTAAACTGGGCATTTCCTAGAAGCTGCAGTAACTTAAATATTCCACTACTCAGGCAGTCTTGCTACTGATATACTATCATTGTCTCCTATTCCATTGACTTTCTAAACACAGTTTGCTGTACAATATTGTTTTTCAGGAGATGACCCATTCATGGCCTCCGCCACTGTCAGCTATTCACACACCAGGAAAGGCAGAACAAAGCAAGTTTCCCTTCCCAAACAAGGTAAGACACAAAACATCATGTAGAACCATGCCTCCTGCACCTAAAAATATGTCCTACATGAGCCCTGACTAAGTGTGTGAGGTCTCTGGGCTGAGGTTGATGACATGCTGATGACCTTCTCTGTGTGTGTGCCAGTATCCGCTGTCTTTTCCCTGCTTACAGCCTCTGCAGGGCTACTCAGTCTTGTTTGCATATCTCCTGGCAGCAGCACTGATGCTGGTGTGTGGGTAATGGGTTCCTCACTGCAAGACAAAACCGCAGGTGTCCCTGGTGGGGTGTCCAGATGTGGTGCCTTCTGCAGGCACCTGCTGAGGCTCCTGGCTGATACCGCAGGGCACATACAGCTGCTGTGAGTCAAGAAGATCCTGCTCGCGTCCATCGCTCCTGCTTCATTTGGCTTTGCTAGCCAAGATTTTTGCTGAAACCATTGAGGTCTGAGGTGGGCTTTACTAGTTAATACACAGTAGTCGGGGTCTGAAGAGTGGGCATACATCCCCTGCCACCAACCGGGCTTCAGGGGCAGCTTTGCTAGAGAGGCCAGCAGCCGAGTGCCATAATGCCCAGAGGGGCCACAGAAGTATTTGCCAGGGAAGTATTTGGTTCCTCAAGGGACCAAGGCCACTGGTCCTGCTGATGGTCCCTTGAAACCAGCTCCACTGTTGTATGTGTATCCCAGGGAGGATGCAGTGCGGCATGGTAAAGCTCATTGGCACACTTGGGGAAACCACGTTACTTATACTTGTTAAGTCAGGAGGGAATGAAATCAGCTATCCTATGCAAGAGCCAATAAAAATTTCACATTGTATCACCATATACTGTTTACATGCCACAAGCATATTTCATGAAGTGTTCAAGCTTGAAAGATGGTATTGATGCTGTTTATAGGCTTTCTCCTGTTAAAGCAAGCTCCTTTGGCAACTTTTAAGTCCATTCTGCAAAATTTAGTGCAGGGAATAATTATAACCACAAAGTCAAGAAACCTTCAAGATTTGCCTGTAGTAAAACATCTTTTCCATGGATGAGCGTGTCATGATTTTGAAGTACCAGGAGTATAAACCAAAACATCTCTGGCATGTTATGAAAGAAAAAGAAGGAAATAACTCACTGTCTATTTGCCCGTTGAAGGCAGGCAGCTGATTAAGATGGTATGCAGGCTAGAGGCTTGTTACGTTAGAGTAAGTCCAGTAGGAGACAGATGGATCAGCAGCTTACAAGCAGGTGAAGTGCCCAGATATGGATGACAAAAACAACGTGGTGCTTGCATTTTCTGCCATAAGTATCACCACGTGATGTGCTTGCGTGGCACAAGGGCAGACGTGCACGGGCAAGGTATGCACCTATCAGCGTATCTGTGTGGCCATCATCAATGCACTTCCTCACAACTAAATATATTGTGATAAATATAGGAATAGGAGAACCACAGACCATGGGGCAAAGATATGTGAATAATGGTCGATATTGACTTTCTCATCTTCTCTCTGCCTGTTCATCCATCTCTCTGGGAAATATTCTAACAGTTTGAACTGCAGAGCCGTTTCAGAGATCTACCATTCATTTTTAAAGAGCCTTTTCTAGCTGGTTTCCCTTTCTCTTACCAAAGTAGAATTTCGATTTCATTTAAGCTTAGGATGGGCAGGATTTCCTCTAATAATATATGAGCATACTTTTGCACATATAGTGACATCGCAACTGTATTGTGGCCTGGGTGGGCTGCATGGTCAGAAATTAGAGTGCTTTGTGTGAGATGGGGAAGAAGTACCTAACAAAACTCACCAGGGTCCTGGAAAAATCCTGCATTACTGGCCATAGATCACATTAATTTTAGACACCACCTCTATTTTAAAATATTTCAAAATTACTAAAAGCTACTTCTGTGGCTTACTCTGAATCCGTAGAGTCACAGACTTTAGAAGGCATCTGCTTTTCAGGCTCCAAAATGCAAAGAACGGTTTCCTAATTTTTCAAACACGTTTTTGAAACATTTGTAAGCTAGCTATTGCTTTTCACAAAGTGTGGCGTAAAATCTTTATTGGATCTCATAGGCAATGTCTCCATAACTCTTAGGAAGGTTTCCCACAGGTAAGCTACATAGCTGTCCCAACTTGTTAAAACCGAAGGACTACACCAAACTGTTGTGGATCGCACATTATTCAGATAAATGGGCCTGTCAGTTAAGTAGTGGCCAAGGCCAGCAAAGAGGCTAAAAGGCTAAATTCAGAGCATCGACTTCATCTCAGTTCCAAGCGATGCATGGTACCGTGAATTCATTTTCAGTCTTTATGGCAGTGTTGAGAGATCAGTTCAGTTCATTTGCAATGACTCTTCCAGCCAGAGAAGCAAGTAGGCTGCAATCCTTTTTAACAGAAGACAGTTCCCAAGTGTAAAGATACTCATCATTTTGGGAATGAGAAAAAGAGACGCTTGTAGGACTCCTACCGTGTTGCAAGGATGCAAATCATCCTTACTTTTCTATCTATAAAAACTGAGTGTCAGCATCATTAGTTCCCATATATGCCACACTGCTTTTAACCTGCAACTCAAGTAATTAGTGATCTGACAGCCTGAAACTTGAAATTTATTAATTAGGCTATTAAAGTTGCAAAGGCCACAGCAACTCTAGCTAGACTGGTTTTCAAAGCAGTCTAGTAGTAAAAGCTAAATAACTGAGGTTTATATATATCACAAATATAACAAAATTGCATGTTTGAAACCGCACGTGTGGATGTGTCCATCTATATAACTATATGCTTGGTGGATGGGGGGGATGTATGTGCATATGCTGTACCTGTATATGAAATCAGACCTCATTAACATGGGAGATCTGCATTAATGCACAAGGATGGAAGGAAAGTCCGGGTCAGGTTTGACACGTGCGGCTGTGCCCAATAGGTTTCCCAGCACAGCGCTGCTGGGAGAGCACATTTAGGGAACTGTCCTTTATGTAATAGAGGGCATAAAGTTACATTTCGTCCTTAACTTTGAATTTTCTTTCTCTGTGGAATTAATTTGTACTCTTGAATTTACTAGGAAGGGGCAATGACAGTCTCTTTATTTCTTGTTTTTCAAAGCTTAAGGATAATTGAATCAGTGTGTGATGTGACAGGCTGTGTGCTTTACTTTCTCCTATCTCTGTCACACTTTGTTACGTACAAATGATCAGGCATTATTTGATTGTAATTTTATTAAAAACATCTTAATAAATAAACTTTAAATTAATAATTAAATTTGGTAAATAAGAGCTCACTTGGTACTTGTGTGAATGAGCTTTCATGTTGAGGCATTAATTCTCTGCTCTTGTGCAGGAAAAAAATGCTGTTAATTCTGCTGCCTGCTTTGCGCTCTTTCTTCATTTTTACTGTGATTTCATGTTTTGAAAGCTTGATCAGGTGTTTGATTTCTAGTTATGTGTATGTGATATTATGGGATCAGCCATCATTTTGTTAGCTGAGAATTAATTTATCCACTCCAGGAGAACTGGTGTCTTGTCACAAAGCTATTGGGTGATTATTCTCAGCAGAAGCTAAGTTATCATAGTGATGTTATTCTTTATGTGTTCAATTCATTTACTTTTTCTTTTCTTGTTGATTTTAAGAAGGTGGAGCAAATGCACTAGAAAATAATCTCCAGAAGCGAAGACTTCACTTTTGGTTTCTAAGTTACACAAAGTCATACTTTTTTCCTACCTCAGTGGGAGCATTCTCTATTTCGCTATGAGATTTTTGTATTAGCCTGTATTGTTAAAAATAGTTTGTTGAGAATCAAGACACTTATTTTAAAGAATCAGTAAAAAGGAAAAGTGAAAATGTTATAGCTCATGTGTTTTGCCGATGTCAAATTTCAGAGTATGCAGAGCCAATGGCAGAGGTAAGATACTGTCCTAGGCAGTTAAAGAGGAGGGTGCATTCTTCCTGAGGTTGATGAAAATGTAAAAGAGTGAGCAAGATCCTTGTTTAGCAGTTTCAAACACTTTTACAAACCCGGGGGCGTTTCCATCAAAATTATTGTATTCCCCCAAACTTCTCTAGGTACATAAATTCACTATTTTGGAAACTGAGCATGCTCTAATAGCCTACTTTTATTAGCAGCCTGGCTGGCTACTAGAATAGCATTTAAATTCAAGTGTACATGTCACTATATCACCACTGCAAGCTGATCTTGACTTCTTAAGATTATGTTCAGTCAACAGAAAAAAACAGGCTTTAATATCCCTTCATCAGAAGCATTCACAAAAAGCTGAGGCAATTTGTCAGAAGTAGGCAATTTGAAATCATTGAGAAATTATTGTCGGCATGTGAAACACTGTACAGATCTTTTCATACTGCAGTTGAAGGTAGAAACTCTTAGGGCTTGCCCAAAAATTTGATGTCTCGCATTTCAGGTGCGTAGGATGGCAGTGAATTGCAGATGTGTATTACAGCATAAAAATTACAGATCAAAGCCATGCAGTCTGCAGAGCCTTGACTCCAGAGCAAATGGTGCAGACCAGGGGGATTTGACTAGCCAAGCCCTTGAGACCCCAGTGTCTGCAGTCCAGCCAACCTCCATTTAGAGATGCCCAGAAACTCTTGGGGCCCCAAACCCCTGAGGCATGCTTCTGAGTGACTGAGCAGCAAAATCTCAGCTCGGCCGAGTTGGAGCATCCTTGAGCTCTCTGGGAACTTGCAGTTCCTTTCTTGATGAGGTGTGCATTTGGCACATCGCTCGACCTCTCTGGACCAGGGATCTGGTCCAGCACCTGATTCCTCACCAAAAATGACTGCATGCATTGCTGTGGGTGCCTGGCCTCTCCGAGCAGTCTTTACTGCAGCTGTAACTGCAGCACGTATATGAGGTGGTATTCCTGTCCGTGTCTGGGTTATTCAGAAGCAGAGTTACATACAGGACACCTTCCCTGCTGTCATCCATAGCAAGGTGTTCTTTTTTTCCTTAATTTAAATACCTTTTTGTTATAGTTTATATTTGTATTTCCCTTCTATTTATAGGCTCCTTTTATATCTTTATGAATGAAAACAAATTCTGTGAGTAAAATACGTGAACATTTGCACGTGAGGATAAAATGGTCTGATTTATTGCACCATATTCATAGATATTGCGGTTGTGATACAAGGCTGACCTTGTAATCTCGGGGACCCAGAACTAAAGTCTGTATTTCCATTCTCTGTTGCTGTCAATATCAACATGTGAAAAGGAAAGACTAGCTGTGCTACTACCTCAGGAATCTAATGGTCCATGAAACAATATTGGTCTTCCCTCTGTCTTCTCATCTAAACTTGTAGAAGATAAGAGACGAGTTTTGGCTGATCAATAAATGAATAGTGAGGAGGAGAGTCGTAATAGCTATACAAGGAATTATATCATTAAAGGGTTGTTGTGAAATAAGTTTACAAGCCTTAGAATTAATAGATTTTCAAAGAAATATTGGATTTATTCTTGTAATTGAAAATTACTTTGAAACTGAACGAAAAATTAACAATGCTGTTTGTATTGTTAAGGTAACGTTGAAGCAAGTATTGCAGCTGAAAATTGTTGTAAAAATAATACACCGTACCTTTTTTCTATTATTACTGTAGGAGCCACAACAGGGATCTACAGGACACAGCAATACAAGTAAGTACCAACTCGTTTTCTGGCTTTATTGGGCGGAGGGGATGACAATGACTATGAAAAACAAGTTACTGATAGAGTAAGGAACCAGTAGCAGACTGGGACAGCGCAGAGCCTCAGCAGGCAGTATTTGGCTATGGCCAAATGTGGGATAACTGAATTGAAGAGTGACCATCAAAATGTCAGCTCTTTTGGTGGACCGGGAAGAACAAAAAGGATTCATTTCATTATGGCCATTTCATTATGTAGATGAGAAAGACTGAAAGGACAAAAGAGTGGCTTTTTTAGAAAGCCAGAAAAGAGCTGACCTAGTTGCACAGCCAGATCCAGACTGCCAGAAAATTCTGCAGGAAAACTTATCATTTATCTTTCATAGGCAATGGTATATTTTGTGGCTATTGCACAGTAATAAGCTACATAAATCCTGCCAAACTAACACCAGATAATGTCTCGAAGACCATATGGCCATGGGTCTTTTTGGCTAGCAGCGTGGGCAGGGGAGTGATGTGTGATTGTGTGGCTCCTGGTTGGGGCTTTTCAGTGGACTCCAATTTACAAATCATGGTGCAGATCAGCACCACTTTAATTACATTCAGTTATGGTAAAAAAACTTAGAAGCTGTATTGAAAGGAAAGATTGAATTGTTCTGCGAAACAAAATATTAATCCTCTCCCCTGACACCTCTGACTGTTGTTAATGTTGTCTTGCATATTAAAAATACATGATCCTATCCTGCTCTCAACATAAAATCATCTCAACCGAAAGAACTATTTTGCTAGCTTCCTGACCTGTCAGCCAGCACAGAGCCCTGTTTGCAAATTACAGGGCTGTGACTGAAGATGAAAAATGCCCTGAGCTGGTAGGTAGGGCTTTGAAAGTGGCTGGTCACCCACTGCGTGAGGGAGAAGACATCCAGGGAGACAAGGCTGGGAGATGTAGGCTATTAAAACCGTGTGGCTCTTTGCTGGGGAAAGGTCGGCATGCGGAAGACAATGTTGTGAAGAAACATGCAGTGGTGTCAATTGCTGGCATCGGTTTGATATTGCTGTGAGTACCAGCACTAAGGAAATAATAAAAGGCAAAGGGGATGAGGTTCTGTCACAAAATAATAAATGCAGTAATGAGAGAAGGATGCACAAAAGGGCCATAATAGAGAGGGCTACGTAAACACACACAGAGTCACGAGCATGACAAACACACCAGCTGAGCTGAGGGCTTCGCAATGACATCAGAGGCCACAGTGTTTGGCCAGCTTTGGTCACAGTTTCATTTTGAGTATTTCCTTCTTTCAACACTTGAATAAAATAGGTTGTTCTGCAGATCTAATGAAACCTGCTTTCCTGTGGATCAGGAAATCGGTCCTACCTCCTTACAGCTTTCCTCTGCTCCTTACTCCAGTGGTCTCTGACCTCACTTTACTTCCAATTCCCCCATCTGCCCTCCCACACCACAGTACCTCCAGCTTCTTCTTATCTCCTCATTCATCCTGCTCAGCAAAATCAGCATATATTTGCAGCTGGGCTGGAACTGCACTTCGTACTGCCTGGCTGATGGCAACCAAACCAAAGAACAGCTGAACCCATGCAGAAACATTTTCTTCATTGGTGGCAAAAGTTAGGGTCACTGTCAGACACCCAGACACTTTTCGTAATGTTGCAGAGGGAATTTGACTACCTCTGAGACCTGTATCCATAAGGATTCCTGTCAAGGTGCTGGAATAAGACATCAAATAAGACACGATTAGAATGAGACATTACAGTCCTGTATGTCAAACTCAAAGGAAATGCAGGGAAAAAAGGATTCGGATGTGAGGAAATGCTAGCAAATTACTCTGTGTGGGAAAGAAATCTATTGGTCTATATACTGTGTTATCCAAATGCACATCTTCATAGTCCCAATTAGCTGTTATCTCCCATTGCACCATGTGTTCTTTGGAATGGCTCTTGCGCTATTTGCAATGTTTTTACTCCAGCTGCAAACATTGTCTTTCTCATGGATAACATTTGCATTTCTCTCATCCTTCCCCACAAGGAAATCAAAGCATTTAAAAACCCATAATGGCTGAAGTTATACTGCTCTGTCACAATAAATATTATTTATCCCTGTTACCCAGAAAGGGAAACTTTGCCTGGTTAGGTTGAGTGATTCACCCAAATTCCAACTGAGAGGAGAGAACACCTTCTCTGGCCACTCACTATTCAATGGGGAAATCCTACAAAAGTTCATTTGAAATTTATTTTGAAATGGGAGAAATCTGGACACATCTCAGCTGGTTGTACCTAAAAAGATCAGGAAGGGAATTGTGTGAGATGAGGTAGAAACTAGCAAAGAACTCCCAGCTCTGTGGCTAAGAAACTGAGGGTTTCCACTGTATGTTTCTGGAGGCATGTGTATGCATACACACACTAACACACAGACACACACATCCACAGCCGTTTCAGAAGACATACACAGTGCTTAGCACCTGAAATAAAGTGTGCTAACAGCATGTATTGGGTTTGCATGGCAAGGTTTTGGTAGCAGGCGGACTACAGGGGTGGCTTCTGTGGGAAGCTGCTAGAAGCGTCCTCCATGTCCGACAGAGCCAATGCCAGCCGGCTCCAAGATGGCCCCGCTGCTGGCCAAGGCCGAGCCCATCAGTGATGGTGGTAGCACCTCTGCGATAACATATTTAAGAAGGGGGGAAAAAAACCTGCACAATTGCAGCCAGAGAGAGGAGTGAGAATATGTGAAAGGAACAACCCTGCAGACACCAAGGTCAGCGAAGAAGGAGGAGCTGCAGCCCATGGAGGTCCATGGTGGAGCAGATCTCCACCTGCAGCCTGTGGAGGACCCCATGCCAGAGCAGGTGGATGCCTGAAGGAGGCTGTGACCCTGTAGGTTCCTGGCAGGACCTGTGGACCCATGGAGAGGAACCCAGGCTGGAGCAGGTTTGCTGGCAGGGCTTGTGACCCCGCAGGGGACCCACACTGGAGCAGTCTGTTCCTGAAGGACTGCACCCCATGGGAAGAACCTACACTGGAGAAGTTCATGGAGGACTGTCTCCGGTGGGAGGGACCCCATGCTGGAGCAGGGGAAGAGTGTGGAGTCCTCCACCTGAGGAGGAAGGAGCAGCAGAGACAACGTGCGATGAACTGACCGCAACCCCCATTCCTCGTCCCCCTGTGCCACTGGAGGAGAGGAGGTAGAGAATTTGGGAGTAAAGTTAAGCCCGGGAAGAAGGGCGGGGTGGAGGAAGGTGTTTTAAAAATTAGGTTTTATTTCTCATTATCCTACCCTGATTTGATTGGTAATAAATTAAGCTAATTTTCCCAAGTCGAGTCTGTTTTGCCATGATGGTAATGGGTGAATGATCTCTCGCTGTCCTTAGCTCGACCCACGAGCCTTTTGTTATATTTCCTCTCCCCTGTCCAGCTGAGGAGGGGGAGTGATAGAGCGGCTTTGGTGGGCACCTGGCATCCAGCCAGGGTCAACCCAACACACAGCAGTCCTGTAAAAGAGTGAAGGTGGGTAGTGTACTCTTTGTCAATTCCTAAAAGACTAAGAAAAACAAAGGACGACACAAATTTCCCCATAAGAAGAAGCCAGAGCTAGAGAGGATTTAGCAGTTCAGCAAATGCCAGCCTCTCACAATGGTACCTGCATGCATTTGGCAGGTTACATGGAAAATGGAAAACAAATCTTAGTCTGGCCAAGAGTGAGTGTGAAAAAACCAAGTTGTTCTGACAGATAATTCCCTTTTACATATGCTTATCCAAAAATCTTATCTGTGACATTCAACTATGCTTAGTCTATACATATTTTTAAAATTTCTGTGATTCAGTCAAGTGAGAACAAACTTGGTAAGAACTGATAAAGCATTAATGGCCAGATTTTCTACTCCGATAGGCCGGACTGATGCGTTTCTACCATCTGTACAAGCTTCGTCCTCCCCCTCCAAACAGAAGTGTGTTAAGTGACGATTAGCATAAAAGCAGCTGCAAATGCCTGCTGTAGGGTAATTCATTAATATCCAGTTTGGCTAAATTGCAGAGATTCCCTTTTCTCCCTCCTCACAGTACTTATGCTGTTTCCCTTGTTGCTGCATTAACATACATCGCTGAAAGTAGAACTGATGTGAACTCTGCTGGCAAAGCACTCAGGAATCCATATTCCCCCTCACACTCAAACAAACCAGTGTTCATGGTAATAATTCATCACTTATAAAAAGCCTAAGTTACAAATAGAAAATCTTTGAATATATGCCAACTGTTACTGTTGGTTTCTTGTTCCAAATTACCATAATGCAAATGAGCTCAAGGGCTCCAGGAACCCTAAGGCTGACAAACGTATACTGTAGCAACAGCTTTCTAGCCAGTGAGTTCATCATCTGGATATACTTTCTGAGGTCTCTGCTAAAAGTGAAAAGTGCCCTAGAGATTATGGAGTGGATATATTCCATGCTGTGTGGATGCCCAGCTTGTACCTACATTTTAGGTGCCTTTAGCTGTCCTCCTACAGTAAGTGTTTGTCTTCCTTTGAGGTCCACAGAGAGGTATCAGTGTTTTTTAAGTCATCCAGAGCTTCCCCCATCCTGTTCACAAAAGTTTAGGCACCTAAGTTGGGTAGACACAAAACCTTCCACAGGGGAGGACAAGATCTAAAAGCACCATGGCAAGGTGTCTGCAATACCTAGAATCTCTTCTGCAAGACATCCACTTCCAGAAGGTCGCTGTCTAGAGTAAGTCCTTCAGCTTGCTTCTGTACAGCAGTGGAAGGACATTGGTAGCAAACCCCTTCCTCTTCTGAAGGCAACAGCAAGTTTTCCAGAGGTGCCTCTGTTGTGGTTTAACCCCAGCTGGCAACCACACAGCCACTTGCTCGCTCCCCTCCAGTGGGATGGAGGAGAGAATCAGAAGAGTAAAAGTGAGAAAACTCGTGTCTTGAGATAAAGCAAAAGCCACCCACACAGGCAAAGCAAAACAAGGAATTCATTCACTACTTCCCACTGGCAGGCAGGTGTTCAGCCATCTCCAGGAAAGCAGGGCTCCATCACACATAACCGTTACTTTGGGAAGACAAAACACCATCAAACCGAACGTCCCCTCCTTCTTTCTTCTTCCCCCAGCTTTATATGCTGAGCATGACATCATATGGTATGGAATAGCCCTTTGGTCAGTTGGGGTCAGCTGTCCCAGCTGTGTCCCCTCCCGGCTTCTTGTGCACCCCCAGCCTCCTCGCTGGGGGGGGGGTGTGAGAAGCAGAAAAGGCCTTACTCTGTGTAAGTGCAATGTAAGTGCAAAACATCCCTTTCTTATCCACACTGTTTTGGTCACAAATCCAAAACATAGCCCCATACTAGCTACTGTAAAGAAAATTAACTCTATCCCAGCCAAAACCAGCACAGCCCCTTACAGCCATTGTCAGCACCCCAACACGGTATGGAAATTGAGGGCGAGGACTTCGGCTGCAGCAAATGGATGATGTGTAGTGCTCATGTGCATGGAATAGGTTGGGGGCTGATCCAAATCCCATTCAACTCAAGTCAATGAGCAGAAAATCAGACAACACCGAAATAGCCCGACCAAAATAAGCACTTCTCACATTTTTTTTTCAGAAAGCACAGGCAGATTTTGGTTTAACAAAGCTCATTAAAAGGTAATGGAGAAAAACACATCCATCAGTAAACCAGTCACACTCAACCTCTGCGCCTCCTTGTCTGCTAAGCAACATAAACTCATGGGTAGACAGCTATTAGCATCCAGCAACACACAAGAGGAGCAGCAGCTGCACAGTCGCTAGGTCCAGAATTCAGGTTCAAGGTGATTCAAGTGGAGCGGCACACCCTGTACATCCATGGTAGAGCTAAACAAAAATCTTACACTGAAGTGTAACTCACTCTGGTTATGCAGAGAGCAATAATTACAGCAAACAACATCAGCCTTACTTTTAGGGGAGCAGGGGGAGAAAGGAAGCAGAAGGACTTGGCCTGACTTAGCAGAAGCAGTACCACCCCATCAGCTAGCAGCCTGCTTCCCTGGTGTCTGTGCTATTTAACTAAGTTGTGTTGGCCACAGACATGATTTTGGACCCAAGAAGGGGATCGTCACAAGCCAACATACTATGCCATTTGGTAAGGAAATGTAAGAGGCATCCCTTGGGCCTCTGATATTTCTCAAGCATTTGGATACCTGACTTCTCCTGGGGTTGTGTGCCTAAGCCAAAATATACAACATAGCAAAGAGGGCTTCCCCAGCCCCCACTTACTGGGGCTGAAGATCAGATGCTTAATCTGTCAAAATGAATGTGAACCAAAACATCCATTGGCAGAATTGTGTCCTAATCACTGCCTTACTAGCTCCTGCTGATGCTGTTTTGCTTTGTGTGAAATAATTACTGTTCCTGGAGCAGGGTTTTGGAGCACGTGCATGTTGGACGGGGTGCACTCTCACTAGCAGAGCTGTAGGGCCCTAGAGACATCCTTTCCATGGCTCCAAGGTCTGCTATCCCTGGTAAAGCTTGTGTCCTCTAAGCAGCCTCTCTTGTGGAGTTTCCTTGCCTGACATTTCCAGAGTACATGTGCCAGTGACAAGAAAAGTCAAGTCAGGGTTGACTCCCTGCTTGCAAATGCTCCAGCAGTGTCTCTGCCACTCTGTGATTGCCTCAGAGGCCGTCTACACATGTGGCAAGAGTGGTCAGCGCTAGCAATGAATAAAGCGTTGATGTGTCACATCTGAGCAGTTTCCATATTGACCGATTTCTGATGTCATTTTCTTCTTCTCTTTTAAAGGCAAAAGTGATGTAGAGCCAAAGGGTCCAGAGAAAAGCGCAACCCATACATCGTAAGTCACTTTTGTGTTTAAGATCGGAGAAGGCAGCTGTGTTTTTATCAGATTTGTTGGGCAAAATAGAATTTGTTTGTTTTCATTAAGATAAAGCTCTTTCACTGATGCTTTTCAGATAATGACTAAACATTAATTATTCCTAGAACTTTTGCATGCTAGTAAGTCAGAGATCTTTGCAAGCGAAATGGCTCCACATCAAGCTGAATAGATATGAGATGATTTTTGTGGGTGTGCGAGGCTGGCCTTTACAACCTGACTTCAACATTACCTTAATGCTGCCGGAGTTTGTCACACTTGCTAAAAAACATCATGTCACATATGCCTTTGATGTACTGATGTAATTTTAAAAGACTGCAGTCTGCAGCTTCACCTCTGAATTACTTGAAATCCAATTACAGCTATCTCTGGTCTCTCACGATTTTGTTGATGTTTTTGAATTAACAAAAGAAGTCGAGAAATAGATAGGAACAGGCAATTGTAATATATATCGGTGTTCACCTTCACTCTGGTGCAACAATAGAAGCTTTTACCATTTTTAACTCTAGTATACAAAGGACTGAATTGTTTTGCCAACATAAACCAGTCTATGAAACAGATGGGCTGCAAGTTAAAAAAAAAAAAAAATAGCATCAGTCTCCCAAACTGAGCTAGATAAGTGAATTCCTTTTATAACTACCAGGAAGGAGCATTATGAATTTCTGCAAAACCATTCACCTTTTTAATCCCATTTGAGGGAGGGAAGTTCTTGTAACAGTCAGTCATGTGAATTTTAGAGTGCATCTTGCCCATAATTTATGTTTTCTGATTCCTGTTATTTAAATTCAGAGCATTATATCATGTAAATCTCGCAAGATGTCACCATTTGTTACATGGCCAAAAGTAGTCACAGAAGGAGGTACAATAACGGTGATTTATTGTGGGATGTTTTGACTTCTGCTGCAAATACACATTAAAAATCTTCTGGAAATGAATCTAGAAAAAGATTTGACATGGTGTAAGAAATGGCTTGTCCTGCAGATTGTGTTGTGGAATGTAATTACAGTATGTGAGCATATTTAGCCAAACTTATTAAATGAATTAAGCATTAGCAGCCTTATGCCTTCTGATAGTATGATTGCTGGGAATGGTTAATAGAATGATTCCAACAATTATCATTTTAAAAAATAATATGGCAATAGAGACCGAAAGAAGAAGGGTTTTAATGCCATCTGGAGGTATTTTGGAGAAATGAACACATTTATTTTTGCTGATATTTAGCAATATGTAAAACATAAGCCATCCTCCACAGTGTTTTTTCTAGTTAGATGGTATTTTATTCATATGAGAAATGTTCTTTCCTTTCTTCTCCTTCATCAAATTAAAATCCCATAAAATCTCTGAACCCAGAATAGGGGTATCTCTGAACCCAGGGATACACCCCAATATGTTTATGGTTTTAGTTTGAGACCTCATACTGTGCCATATAGTGTGCTGTATTAGATACAGCAGACTTCAGAATCTGGTTAGGTGTGAAATGTTCCTTGCCTAATAAGAGATCTTAGTACAACCTTCTGAAACTGTGCTGTCTACTAGATATAGTATATTTATAATGCTTATCTTTAAATTGTTACTATATGCTAAGGCTACCCCACAGCAGATAGTCTTCCCAGAGCAATTTTTAGAAGTAGAAATGACTGGTTACCACTGATAAATGACTGTGTTCAAGAAGGAGATGCCCCTCTAGTTAAAGAAATTATTTGTGTGGGAAAGGAGGCAGGAGAGAAAGGAGGAGATGAGAGGAAGGGAACCAGCAAGTGCTGTGCCAAAAGAGGAGAAAGAAAATGAGAGTGATACAGCTAAGAACGAGGAAAAGGAACTGCAAATACCAAATTTTCAGAAAGAGATACAAAACTGAGAGCAGTTGAAATGAAAACCAGAGGTCAAACACTGGAAACGAGAAAGAAGGGAGAATGATACAAGCCAAAGCTATTAGTAAACTAATGTATGCGTTATTGAATAGGGGGCTGGATACCTGAGTGTTACAGTGAAGTAAATTAACTCATGTTGATGTGTAGGTGTACACTGACGTCCCAGTTCTTTTTCTGTTGCCTTTGGTTGGCCTTCCCTGGGTTTCTTCTCATTTTCATCTTCTTTTAGGACAGACTTTTACTCCTGCTTCTCAGGAAGTCATGAACACAGACTCTCTCTGTTCTTTTGGGGATGTAGTAGCTCACACCTGTGCACAAAATGCACAACCAGAAGGATGCGCAGTGCACACATACACATGAATGCACAAGCGCATGTACCTGGGTCTGTCTACAGTAGTGGATGTACCCTTTCCCTGCGTGCATGGAGAAGACCATGCCGTTGCACAGCTGGCCAAGAGCGCCGGCAGTGCCCAGACCTGCAGCTGGGAGCTGGGGGGGGGGGGGGTTCAGGGGGGGGGGGGGGGGGGGGGGATGGAGGGCGGCCGGGGGCCCCAGGGTGCCAAAGGCCCCGGCAGGGCCCAGCCCGGGAGCTGGGGGCTGGGGGGGGGGGGTGTTCAAGGGGAGAGGTGTGAGAGGGAGCATGAATGCTGCCAGGGGTCCCCATGAATAAAAAAGCCTGCACCCTCTTGCGAGGTGTCACTCCCTTGAGAGCGTCGAAGGAGTTTGGTTGGCATCTCCCGGCAGCAATGCTAAAAAGGAGCAACATTGATGTGGGAGAGGTGGCACGTTCGGGCCTGACCAGGAGAAACTGGATTCGTTTCACTGTGAATCAGTGTTTCCTTGTGAAAATGGAACAAACAGCAACAAAAAAAAAAACCACAAAGCAAGTCATGTTGGCCTAGATAAAAATAACGGAAAAGATGGAGAGGCGCAAATTAATGTTTCTTTCTTGCAAATGTCTTTTTTATTTTCCTCAGGCATGTTACAAGCCACACACTCAAGCCAAGCTTATATGACTCAATGGCAGTTAATTCATCCTTGGTGCAGATTTACTACCTCCATCCAAACATTATTTATGCAGCTTCAAAGGACAGGTTGATTACCCTCCTGAATCAGGCAGTGAGGTGCTTGTGAACCGAGCATTTATATGAAGTCTCCCCTCAAGACATGCCTCTTGCCTTGTCGGCTGAGCTCCAAGTCCCCAAAACCAGATATTACCCTGTGACCTGGAGCCCCAGGGCCAAAGGTGCTACCCACAATCTCCAAAAGTATAGAAACCTAGAGTGTAGGATTTGTGGTGGTCCGTTTGGAGAGGTTTGGGTACGGTAAATGCATCATTCTGAATAGCAGTGTGCATAGGGGGTTTTTCCTGTATGCATTAACTCCCTAGGAGACTCGGTATGACATAGGTCTCCACTGATAATAATATTAAACATTAAGAAACTGGTATGCATTAGATGATACACATTAATTGATGCAACATCCTAATGAGGCAGATAAATAAAGGCAGTTATTACAATGCTAGAGATAACTGAGATGGATGTAGGAGAATGAGAATGATGCAAAAGCGGGGAGGAAGTCTGAGCAGAGCTGTATCCTTTTGCACGATATTCCTATGGCCTTCACCGCCTCGGCGTGCACAGTAATCACCTGAGCTGGCACTGAAGAGTTGCAATAAAAGGTGAAAACAATACAAAGGTGTTAAGCTGTCTGGAGTCTTCCCCAGTTGATTCATGTTCCTTGTAATTGAATGCTTTTAAAGCCACAAGAATTCTGGATTTGAAGGGTTTTTTTGTTGTTGTAGTCTTAATATATATAGCTCTCTATGGGTCATCTGGTTACAGCTTTGCTGAGCATATCTAAACTTTTAGGACTGTTCAGAAATATCCAGCAATGTTTTGTTCTTTTGATATTGTGATAAAAGGTTCAATCTTCAAAGGTCAGAAAACTTTCACAGATTTTGTTAAAAACACCTAATTTTTATTAAAATCCTTTCTCCCCCTGGTTTTACCAGTTATAGTCTGAAGGGCTGCATTAAGGAGTGGGGGACAGATGAAAAAGAGTGCTCTTTTGTTCTTTAGCCTTTTCAGGTACAGGATTTTAGTCTTTCTTTGGCAAAAACTGGATCCTTTTAGTAAACGTTGGAACGCTGCGATTAAAACTTTTGATTTTATAAAACTTCTGTGCAAGGAAAAGTGATTCCAACCAGTGCAGGTGTTTCAGAGGACCTTGTGATGCCATAGAAACTCCTCCCCAAGGTGGGGGTCTGCGATCTTCCATCCTCCCATGTGCAAAATATGACAATAATTCAAAAATGGCACAAATACACAAAGCGCTTGGCAAGACTCCTGCTCTTGGGATGACTTTCGATGTACTGTCTGTTGTGATGTTCTTCAGTACCTTTGTGTTTGTAAATGATTTCCAGTTCAGACTACCCAAGGTTAATCATGCCTGACTGTGATTCACTGCTATGCATTTACCTCGACATTTCTAGTGCACTTACTTAATGATATCAGGGCTAGCAACTAGATACCTCAGCTCTGTCTCTTTATTATCCCTCCCACAATTGTTTTCATGCTGAGCTGCTCCAGATTTTTCCCTCCCTTTTTACAAGAGAATTAACCAAGATTGAGGGAGGCTTTTATAATTTATGGCAGTTATGCAAGTTTTGTCCTTTGCTAATACTCTCTGAGAATCGCAGCGATCTCAGGGTGTGTGTTTGCTTGTTTGCTTTTGCCAGGCAGAAATAGATGTTGGCTCTGTTCCTTCCCTGCACCGGTCCCCAGCATCACTTGGAGAATAGTTTGTTCAGGGGGATCTTCATTAACAGTACTAAATTCAGCAGCTTCCAAGCTGCCCATTTGCAGACGTTAGTGCTACAGTCTCTTGCCCATCCGGCAGCTGCTCATCGTTCTCATCACCCTGATGCTCCTTGAGGAAGGAAATAGGAAACGGATACTCGGAGTAATGTCACTGTTGTTCCTGCTTCATGTGACCTATGTCTGTACTGGCATGAGTATCGCCTGTTGGTTTCTTGCCTTTTCTTCCTCTCTTCTGTCTTGCCCCTTGTATCTTCAGAGTGACTCACAG